TATTCCCAGCATCCCATATGGTCCCCTGAACACCACCAGGAGTAATTCCTGAGTGAATGAGCCAGGAGTAACCCCTATGCATTGCCAGGTGTGACCCAAAAAAGAAAAAAAAAATTAAGGCTGGACCAATTGGCATTCCCTCAAGCAGTGAATGAGAGTCCCTTTCTCCACATCTGCACCAGCACTGGTTGTTCTTTTTGCTGTACACGAGCCTCTATGTGATAAGATGCTATCACATTGCTTTGATTTGCATCTCCATTATAATTAGTGATGTAGAGAACTTTTTCATGTACCTTTTGGCCATGTGTATTTCTTCTTTGAGGAACTTTATGTTCATCTCTTCTCCCCATTTTTTGATAGGGTTGTACATTTTTTCTTATAAAATTCTACCAGTGACTTATATATGTTGACTACTAACCCCTTATCAGATGAGAGTTGGATAAATAAGTTTTTTCTCTGTGGACTGTCTGTATTCTAGTCATTTCCTTTTAACTGCAGAAGCTTTAGTTTAATGCAGTTCCATTTATTTTATCTTTGCTTCTACTTCCATGGTCAGTGGTGTTTCATCCTTAAAACGTGCCTTTAGCTTCAATGTTATGAAGAGTTCTGCCTACATTTTCCTCTGTGTACTTTATAGATTCATGTCTGATATCAAAATCTTTAATCCATTTTTATTTGATTTTTGTGCATGGCATTTAAAAGAGGTCTGAGTTTATTTATTTATTTATTTATTTATTTTGCATATACCTGACTGGTTTTCCCATTACCACTTGTTGAAGAGGCTTTCTTTGCTCCACTTCATAATGATTGCTCCTTTCTCGAAGATTAGCTGATCATACACGTGAGGATATTCAAGGCTATTCCACTAAATGCTGTTTTAATTACTACTGAATTGTAGTATAGTTTGAAGTAGGGAAATGTGATCCCTCCCATCTTTTTTTCCTCAAGTACTGCTTTAGCTATTTGGGGTGGCAGGGGAAAGTATTATAGTTCCATATGAATTTCAGCAGTGTTTCAGATCTATATATTTAAAAAATGACATGGGTATCATTATAGGTACTGCATTGAATATAATGCTTTGGGGTAAATTGCCATTTTGATGATATTAGTTCTTCCAGTCGTCCATGAGCAAGGGATCTGTTTCTATTTTCTCATGTCCTCTTTTATTTCTTGGAGAAGTGTTTTGTAATTGTTGATAAGTTAATTCTGATGTTCTTAATTTTCTGAGGCACAATTGTGAATTAGGTTTTTTTTTTAAATATCTTTCTTCAATTTGCATATTGGAAAGCCATGGACTTCTGCATATTAATTTTGTAGCATACCACTTTACTATACAGATGCATTGATTCAAGGAGCCTTCTGGTAGAGTATTTAGGATTTTCTATGTATAGTATCATGTCAGTTACAAATACTCAGGGCTTGACTTCTTCCTTTCCTATCTAGATGTCCTTGGTATCTTTTTATTGCCTCACTGCTATAGCAAGTACTTCTAGTACTGCATTGAATAGAAATGGCAAACAAGAGTGGGTACCCTTTTCTTTTGCCTGATCTTAGAAGGAAGACTTTTATTTTTTTTCCCCATTGATAATGATTGTTCTGGGCTTGTGGTAAATGGCTTTAACTGTATTGAGAGAAGTTCTTTCAGTTCCCGTTTTGTTGAGAGTTTTTATCATGAATGGGTGCTGGATCTTGTCAAATGCTTTCTCTGCATCTATTGATATATTGATATCAAATTTGGTTTTTACTTTTTCTTTTATTGATATGGTGTATTATGTTGACTGACTTTCATATATTAAAACCATTCTTGTATTTCTTGGTCTTGTTGTATGATCTTTATGATTAATTGTTGGATTCTGTTGGGTGGTATTCTGTTGAAGGTCTTTGCATCTGTGTTTATAAGGGATAATGGCCTGTAATTCTCTTTTTTTGTAATGTCTCTGCTTTCGGTATTTGCTGCATAGAATCTGCTTGGGAGTGTTTTTGTTTCTTCAATTTCCTAGAAGAGTCTAAAAAGAAATGGCAGTAGGTCCTCTTTAAAGGTTTGAGAGAATTTATTAGTGAATCCATCTGGCCCTGGGCTTTTGTTCTGGGAAAGACTTTGATTATCATTTCAGTTTCCTCCATAGTGATAAGTCTGTTTAGCTATTCCACTTCATTTTGTTTCAGTCTTAAGAGGTTATAGGAGTCTGGGAATTGATCCCTTTCTTTTGGGTTCTCTAATTTTATGGCACAAAGATTCTCAAAGTAATCTCTGATGATCCTTTGAATTTCTGTAGTTTGCGTTTTGATGTCCCTCCTTCCATTTCTGATTCAGTTTATTATGGTTCTCTCTCTATGAATCTTGAGAGTGGTCTATCAAACTTGTTCATTTTCTCAAATAACCAGCTTTTGATTTCATTAATTTTAGGATAGTTTTTTTGTATTCCAGTTCATTAATTTCCACTTTAAGTTTTATTATTTCCTCCCTCCTGTCCGGTTTGGGCTCATTATGTTGGTCATTTTCCAGTTTCTTAAGTTGTGCAGTCAAATTACTTATGTGAGCCCTTTCTTCCTTTCTGATGAAAGCTTGCATAGAAATGAGCATTCTTCTTAACACTGCTTTTGTTGTATCCCACAAGTTCTGGTAAGTAGTCTCCCATTTTCATTTGTTTCCATGGATCTTTTCATTTCCTCTTTGACTTTCTCTCTTACCCACTAATTGTTCTGTAACTAGCTATTTAATTTTAAGGTTTTTAGTTGTTTCTCTATTTCTGTTTGTGATTAACTTCTACTTTGAGTTCATCATAATCTGAGGAGATAGTTGATATGATTTCTATGCTCTTGATTTTGTGACAGTATTTTTTGTGTCAGTATGTGATCTGTCTTGTAGAATGCCCCATGTGCATTGGAGAATAATTTACATTTGGCCTTTTGAGAATAAAAGACCCTATATTCTTCTAATCCTTCTCTTCCATTTCTTCACTGAAATAAAGTATTTCTTTGCTGAGGTTTAGTCTAGTTGATATATCAGAAGGTGACAAAATAGCATTTAAAGCTCCAGCTACTATTATGTTGCTATCAATGTACTTCTTCAAGTCTGTGAGCAAATACTGTGAGCAAATACTGTTGATTGAAGTATTTTGCTGGTACCTAATTAGGTTCATATACATTTAGAAGTGTGAATTCTTCCTGATATACAATCCCTTAATCTTTAAGAAATGACTTTCACTGTCTCTTATAACCTTCAGCCTGCAGTCTGTGTCATCTGATACTAGTAAGGCCACCCCCATCTTTTTTGAGGGAGTTGTTGGCTTGAAGAATTGTTTTCCAACCTTTGACTTTGAGTCTTTGTTTGCTTTGACAGTTCAAATGTGTTTCTTGCCAACAGTTGGGTTCAATTTTCTAATCCTACCTGCGATTGTATCTCTTAATTGGTGCATTTAGCCAATTGACATTGAGATAGATTATTGTTACGAGGATTTGTGCCATCTTTCTGCAGGAGTTTGGTGTGTTTGGGGAACTTTCTTGATCTTATCTTAAAGTAGCCCATTTAGTAGTTCTTCTGACAGTTGTTTTGAGTTTATGAAGTTCCTGAGTTGTTTATCTGTGAAGTTGAGTATTGTTCCTTCAGATCTGAATGAGAGTCTGTCTGGGTAATGTATTCTTACCCAGGTCTGTCTGAGTTAGGCATTCAATTCTTTGATTCTTTTTTTATTATATCCCACCACTGTCTTTAGTCTGAGTTCATCTGGTAGGACTGCTTAAATCTTAAGGATGCTCCTTCAAATGCAATTTCCTTCTTTGATCTTGCTGCTTTCAGTATTCTATCTCTATGTATGGTTTTGTCATTCTGATTATGGTGTGTCTTGAAGTATTTTTATTTGAATTTCTTTTAGCTGATAGTTTTTGGCATCATTCACTCTTTAGCTCTGCAAATTTCTCAGCAATTATGGCTTTGACTGTTGCTTCTTCATCTGGGTTTTCTTCCTACCTTTCTGAGACCCTGATGATTCTTACACTGTTCCTCGTGAATTCATCTCAAAGTCCTTTTGGCATCTGTTGGTTTATTTTGAGGCTCTTTTCCATCTTCTGCTGTTTGGAGATTTTCTGCATCTCATCTTCGAGCTCATTGGTTCTGTCTTCAGAAGCTGTTACTCTGCTGCTGAGACCTTTCAGTGAGTTTTCCATTTCACCTACCAGGTTTTTCAGATCTGTCATTTCTTTGTCTGTATTTTCCTCATTTCTGCTCTCATATTCTCTTGTGTTTTCTTGACCATGTGTTTCATTGTTTCTTTGAGCTTCTTATGCATCCTCAACAATCCAATTCTAAATTCCTTACCAGACAGATTATATAGCTCTTTATTACTGGTTGAGTCATCTGGCTAACATCTTCATTCACTAAGCCTGGTTGGTTTCTACGTTGCTTTGGCATTGTGACATTTGCCGTTTAAAGTTGTTTCTTATGTTGCCATGTGGTTAAGAGCCTACAGTTATGATGTCTTGTCTTTGTATGTTTATGGTGTTTTATGGAGAGGTAAAGAAATGTGCAACTGCAGAGTGAAGCTGGGTGAACTGTTCACAGGCGGAGTGCAGTCCAGACCTGGGGAGCAAAATAGCACTCCTGAATACAATCCAGAGCCTTGATGCCTGGCCTTCCTTCAGCTTTCAGGGACCGGATGCACAGTATCATTTTATAGGAGAGTTAAGTCCGTTGATATTTAGAGAAATTGATATGAAAAGGTTTATTGACCATGATTATGTGAGGAGTTTGGTTGTTTTCATTGTTTGCCACTTCCTTGCTATATGTGGCCTTTCAGTGACCTTGCCAGAACTGGACTAGATTCTAAATACGTCCTGAGCTGCTGTTCGTTTGAGAATGTTTTTGTCCTTTTTTCCACTCTCAGTGACAGTCTTTCTGGGCAGGAGATTGTTGGTTGGAGGCTCTTTTCATTCAATTCTTTGCATACGTTTTTCCATTCTTTTCTAAATTTCATTATATGTTATTCCATAAATTTCGTTAGGGAAATCTGTAAGTCTAATGCTTTCCCCTTTGTTCATGAGGTTGTGCTTCTCTCAGTTTATGACGAGTCTCTGGGTCTAGCTCTTGCCATTTTGGTTAGAGAATGTCTTGGTGCTGTCTTGTTTACTAGGACCTTTTGGGATGACTGCTCCCATTTTGCTCTTCAGATTGGGAAAATTATCATGAATTACTTCCTCAACTAGTCTCTCTCCTCTTCCTCCTTTGCACCTTCTGGAATTCCCATTATTCTAATGTCGTTACTTTTGGTGCTGTTAGTAATATCCTTTATATTCTCTTCATTTCTTTCTCATTTTCCCTTGTAGTTCTTCCTTACTGGAATTGTTTACTGTCTTTGAGTGCATTTACTCACTTTTCAGTTTCAGCCTTTATGCTTCTGAGACTTACTTTATTTATTTACTTTACTTTATTATTTGACCCGAGTTCAATTCCTCCGCCCCCTCAGAGAGCCCGACAAGCTACTGAGAGTATCTCAACCGCACAGCAAAGCCTGGCAAGCTACCCATGACGTATTTGATATGCCAAACACAGTAACAATTGTCACAATGGAGATGTTACTGGGCTCTCTCGAGCAAATCGATGAACAACGGGAGGACAGTGACAGTAACTTTATTATTTACTTTATATTTAAAATATTAAATTTATATTTATATTTACTTTATTTATTACTTTATTCTGAGGCTTTAGTTATTTACTTTATTTCTATTTGAATGATTTCTTGCATTTTTTCCATGAGAATTGCTTCAGCTTTACTAATTCTCTGCTTATATGTCATTTTCAAATCACTAACATTGATATGATCGTTCTCCTAAAGGCTTCTTTTGGCAGATTTCAAAGATCTTAATGCCCTTGGGGATCCTCCTGAACTTTTTGTTGCCCTCTGTTGGTAGTTCTTTGTTCTTTTGTTTCTTCATTGTCCCAGGTATTACTGCTAAGTTCATCAGTGACTGGGGATAAGGATGGCCTGATGCTAGTTATATCCAACCAGTACTCTCTCTCAAGCTAGCACTTGAAATGGGTGAAGTATCTGGCAGGACCTGGGACATTTACTACCATGGCAGCTGTGCCTGAGTTCCATATTTTAATGTTGGGAGTCGTGATGATAGGCTGAGTCTATAGTAAGCCACTGAGGAATCTCAACAGGGTTTTGAATATGTGAGGTATGTGTGATAGACCCCAGCCATATGTTTCAGGATAGACACAAGTAGGTGGAATCAAGATCTACCAAGTATGAACCTAAAATGGGGTCCACAGTGAGTTCCAGTTAAAGGACCCCTCCTGCATTTTCTTTCTGTAGAAAATAATTTGATTCTGCCCAGAAAGATAGCACTCAGTGCTTGAGCACATGTCTGGTCTGTACTGCACCTGGGAAGAGATATTGCTCAACCTGTGTTGAGTTATCTCAGGAGATACTATCTTGGTGTTAGTATAAGAAGGTGATTAAGGCCAATTCAGTGCAATATTTTGCACCTCAGTGAGGACAGACCACCTCAGAAGAGGAATGGTTGTCTAGATTCCAACCAATACCTGCTTACTGTGATCCCTAAGTTCTCAACCTGTTTGCTGACCTCACTGGGAGGAGTGTTTATTCTTCCTTTTCCATGTTCTTGGGGAACATAGCTAGCAGTAATTTAAAGGGAACTGTAGCGCCTTCTACCATTGCTGTCAGAAGACCACTAGAGGCATCTTATATCAGAGCCACAAGAATTGTCTTGATAGACGGTACCACTCACATGTGCTGTTTTCTCTTTACTCAGTGATTCCCCAGTGTCAGTCGTTCTGTCTACATGCCCGTGTGCTGCTGCCACTCTAACCATCATGTCTCACCGTCAGACAAGCCTGCCCAACTCAGAAGCTCCATTTTGGGCCCTCAGTGAGATACAAAATGACTCCATGGTTCTGGAGCAGTCCTCTGGTTCCTTCCATCCTGTGGTGACTGACATTGAGATGGAAGATCTTGTGGCTGAAATGACCTGCGTTTCGGTGGGTGCTCAGAGTTGCTTCATGTCTGCAGAGTCTGAGACAGTCACCTCATCAAGCAAACCAGAGGAGGGCTTTGCTGGCCAAGCAGTGGCTAATAGCTCAGGCCCCTCAAAGACTATAGTCAATATCTCCGCAGTGCTCCCAGATGATATCGATAGAAAAATAGCTTTGCTGGTGAAATTAATGGTGCTCAAATATCAAGTCAAGCAGTCGCTAACAAGAAAAGAGATAGCTGAGATTGTCATCAGAGAACATGGAGATCACTTTGATGAGATTTTCTTCAGAGCCTGTCTGCGTTTGGAAATGATCTTCGGCCTTGAAGTGAAGGAAATGGATCCCAGTATCCACTCTTATGTCCTGGTCACCAAATTGGGCCTGACCTTTGATGGGATGCTGTGTGGTGAAGAGGGCATTCCCAAGACCGGCATCCTGATTCTTGTGCTGGGTTTGATCTTCCTGAAGGGCAACTCTGCAACCGAACAAGAAATCTGGCAAGTTCTGAATCTGATTGGAATACATACCGATGAGAGGCACTTTATCTTTGGAGACACTAAGGAGCTCATCACCAAAGATTTTGTGAGGGAAAAATACCTCATGTGCCAGAAGGTACCCGACAGCAGTTCTGAGCAGCTTAAATACCTTTGGGGCCCACGAGCCCATGCTGAAACTACCAAGATGAAAGTTCTGGAGTTTATGGCCAAGATTCATGGGTCTGATCCAAGTGACTTTGGACATTGGTATGAAGATGCTTTACAAGATGAAGCAGAGAGAGCTGGTTCTTCTACGAGCAGCTACTAACAATTCTATTGACAGCTAGCAGCAACTCCTGTCCCTAGCACAGTCACTAATTGTTTCCTCAGGCATAGTCTGAAGAGAATATTGGTTACAGAATTAAGTATGAGATGCTGCTCTGAGAAACCAAAATATATATGCCTACATATTCCCAGCTTGTATAACTTAAAATACATTCTTTTTTAAGGCACTTATTGTTGAAATGCTTCATTTTGTGTAATTTTAGTAATAACTTCAAGATCCCCAAATTTAACACTGGGCGTCACATGTTACATAATATATCTATACATGTATAAGGATGTACAATGTTAATATATCTGAAGTTTTGTAAAATAATTAGCATAGCTCTGGTTTAAATTTACAGAATAAGACAATATGGTGTTGTTCAAAGAATTTGTTGAAATTTTAAATAAGCTAAAGCTTAAGATACTTGATTTTAAGAAATTTTTTTAAATGGTAGTTTTTGGTTCTTCCATGCCTTTATGTTTATTACTATATAAAGTTAAATGGTAACTCTGAATTTGCTTGACCTTTCTTTTTATGAATGTTTGAGAAATATATCTCATCATATGAATCCCCTGCTTATAGCATCTTTTAGTTCCTAAACTTGTTAAAATATTTACTCTTTGGAAATCATCAAAGGATGCTTGATATTATAGTATAAACAAATACCAGGAACTGCCATTTTATTTTTTCTATTTTCTATTTTTTTATTTTTCAGTTCGGCAACTCTTAGTTGGTAAGGTATCTTAATAACTGAAGGGAAATTGAGGAGTTAGCAAGTGAATATATTGATTCTGTGTGAGACTGTAAGGCATAAATGCTCTAAAGGAAGGAACTCTGGGAAAGCTATTCAGTTATATATTCAGTTACATTTGGATGGTAGCTTTGGATATTGTGCCTTCATATGGTGTATTTCAGAGTTGAGATCCAGAAGGCTGAATTGGAAAACTACTCTTTGTAGTTATTTTAGTGTCATGGTTTTCACAGATGGAAATCTTTACCAGGATAAGAATGTAACTTATTCTGTGATCTAGTCCCTATGCCATTGAATACTATTCACAAACTAAATATTTTGAACATGTCTTAAAAGGGGCATTTTCATAGGTAACGGAATTTTTTAAAAGCAGCTGGCTTTGCTTTTTTTTCCTTTTTTTGGTTTGGTTTTGGGGCCACAACCAGCACATCCATTCTTGTCAGTGCTGTGGAACCATATGTGGTGTTGGAGATTGAACTTGAGTGGACCACATGCAAGGCAAGCACCTTAGCCCCGGTCCTGTCTCTCTGGCACCTGGCCAGGCATTTTTTTTTCCTGGAATGGAAAAACAAGAGACTACCTTAGTTGGTTTTTCTTAAGTGGTAGAGGGCATACCCAGCATGCTGAGGGGTTACACCTGGCTTTGCACTCAGGAATTAATCCTGGCGGGCTCAGGATACCATATGGGATGCCAGGATCAAACCCCAGGTCAGTGACATTCAAGGCAAATGCTGTACAAGATGTATGATCACTCCAGCCCAAAAATTTTTTTAAAAATACTTTAAATTTATTATAAATTTAAACTATACCAGTGTAGTTGGTGTGGTCTAAGAAAAGCTTATAATATTTTGGAGTTGAAGTTAATGAAAATGTGGAGTGGTTTGAATACAACAGAAACTAAGGAGGAAAGTATGATTCCTTGTCACAATTCTAGGGGTTACAAGTTGCATAGTGGAAGTAACATTGTCACCCCATTAGTAAAGATCACAGCCTGTGAAGGGATGTATTATCTGAGGTTTACCTCCGAAGGAGAATTTTTTTTAATTGAGTCACTGTGAGGTACACAGTTCATGGTAGAATTTCATCATACAATGTTCCAACACCCATCGCTAAGCAACATTTTGACAGATTTGTTATCCTGTAGTACTTCTTATTCTCTGATATATACTGGAGTTTTAATAAAACAAAACAAACATACCAAAAAAAACCCACCTTAGGGGATGGGGCTACAGTTTTTGAAAATCAATTGCAAGGGCTGGAGCAAGGGCACAGTGGGTAGGGCATTTGTCTTGCACACGGCTGACCCAAGTTCAATTCCCAGCATCCCGTATGGCCCCCCCAAGCACTACCACAAGTAATCCCTGAGTGCAGAGCCAGAAGTAACCCGTGTGCATCACTGGGTGTGACCCAAAAATAAAAAAAAAAGAAAATCAATTACAGGGCATGAACTATAGCACAGTGAGCAGAGCGTTTGCCTTGTACACTACCGACCAGCGTTTGATCCCCAGCATTTCATATGGTCCCATGAGCACTGCCAGGAGTAATGCCCGAGTGCAGAGTCAGAAGTGACCCCTAAGAATTGCCAGGTGTGAAAGAGGCTACTTGTGTCAACATGTGAATGAGTCCTTGAATCTCTAGACAGCTGCCTGCAAGTTGACAGGACAGGACTCAGGAAAATAGCAGTGTTTGGGACCTACACGGAGACCTTGGACCTTTGCATTGAGCCTACCTATGGGTCTGCAGTGAAGAAGACCTTGGCCTTCTGTGGGGGTTGTTCCGTTTCCTAGGAGTTAATTCTCTAAACTCATAGGAGAAGTGGCTGGTGGGGGCTAGAAAAAGGTAACTAGAGGCTGCTGTCTCAGAGGTTGCTGTTATCTAGAGGTGTTACTGCTGCCAACCTCAGAGATGAGCTCAGCCAGCCCAGGAGGACAGAGACACCCAAGCCCTGAGAAAGGGCCCAGAGAGAGGATGTGAAGTGCTGCTGCCTGCTGGCCTGCTGAGGTGAGTGCAGAGAACCCTGAGAGCTCATTGTGGTGGCTTAGACCCCTCAGAACCATGAGGGTTAGGGACGGGGGGGCTGAGAGACATGGACTAACAGAAGGGGGCTAATGAGACAACTGGAATGTGCATGGTTCCAAGAATGGTAGAGTCCCCCCACAGCTTGCCACCTTTGAGGAGTTTGAGTCCTGCACCTAGACCTCAGGAAGAACTGACTATGCCTTAAGCTGCAAGGCAGAATCCAGGACCCCTGTCAGTTGGTGATGATGGTGGGACAGGAACTCCCAGCAGGTTTCGTACCTCACTCGCGGGGCCCAGCATGCTCTTCCCACTTGAGACTTCATAGTCTGTCTTTGGATTTATCTCTTTTCTCACTACTCCATAATGTCTCTTGGGATGAAAGGTACCCTGAAACTGAAGAAAAGTTTGACGTGATCATTACATTTGGGAGTTTTCTGTGGGCTACATTTATCTTAACCACAACCCCAGAGGTCTTTGAGACCTGACTTGCCAGAGGCTGGCATTTTTTTGGTCTGCCTCTTGCTCTTTGACATATTGCAGAACCCTACTGCCCACCTCTATTGCATCCTCCTCCAAGGCCTGCACCTGGATCCCAGTGAAACAGACTAGAATGATCTGCTCCTCTCCTAACTCAAGAGTATTCCAACTCCCTGTCAGGCAGATCCATCCCTCACCATAGAACCCCGCTGATAGATAGATTCCATTTTATGTGAAAGGTAATTCCAACAAAGAAATTTCAACTTAGTCATCGTGACATCCAGTAGATATCTTCAGCAAATTCTACAGTGATTTTCAAGAGCTCTGGTGAAATATCTGTCTGCTTTAGCCAAGATCTTCCAGATTCATTGCACTATTCCCAAGAGACAGTATTTTATTATTTTCAGCAAAACTTTCATGATACTTCAACAAGAAGAATATTTTTTTAGTGAGAACAATATTTAATTTGGATGTTAGGGCAAGATGAGACTTGCAAGGAGAGGGGGTCAAGGTTGGTAAGAATATATTGTGGACTAGCACTGTCAGATGTAAAGATTTAAAGTATTTATCCTGGGGCTGGAGCGATAGCACAGCCGGTAGGGTGTTTGCCTTGCACTCAACCTACCTGGGTTCGATCCCCAGCATCCCAAATGGTCCCCTGAGCACTGCCAGGAGTAATTACTGAGTGCAGAGCCAGGAGTATCCCCTGTGCATCACCGGGTGTGACCCAAAAAGCAAAAACTAAAAATAAAAAAAGTGTTTATCCTAAGATAGTGAGCTTACCTTGGCAGTTACAAAACCAAAGTCTCTCTTATAATTGGAGAGATAAGTAAATAAATAAGCAAACATCAACAGTATCAGTCCTGTAAACTTTAGAGTTCATCAAAGACATGTAATAGTACTATTTTGGGTTAGTTGTATTGTTGCTTATAGTTGATAATATATTTTGCCATCGCTTGTCATTTGTAAGTGACAAGCATTCTTCCCAGCATGCCAGTTTTGTTTGTTTGTTTGTTTGTGCTCAGGACATATTCCTAGCTCTGTACTCAGGAATCACTCCCGGTGGGCTCAGAGGACCATAGGGAGTGTTGCAGATTGAACCATATCAGCTGCACACAAGGCAATGACCTGCCCGCTGTACTATCCTGCCCCAAGAAAGCCCCTTATGTTACCATTGCACCCATACATTTTAGCAAGGAATCACAGGCCCATTTAAATTCCCGGCAGCTTGACTCCCCACGAGTCTACACTCAGGGTGAGAAAGTGAAATGAGTTTCCAAACCTTAAAGCTGCTCCTTGCTTTCTCCCTTGACTCATCATCCCATAGAACTGGACAGGAGGCTACATCACTGCTTGCCCCACCCCAACCAGCAAGTGTTAGAAAGCTGGTGGAGGGACACTTTCTCTAAGACTCCTTCATGTTAATTGTCTGGGATTATCCAATTGAAAGGATTCCTATAGTGCACACCCCTCCATTTGTCTGAAAAACAACAACAAGAAGAACAACACCAAAAATCCCAAAACAAAAAACAACTTTCAAAATCCAGCTTGGTCATATAATTCTCACATTCAGAACAAGAACCCATCAGCTGGGAAATGATGCCCCTAACTAAAGATTCCTTGGTATTATCTTTAGATAGTATAGATAACAGATATGTTTGTGTTGCTGTTATATTTAAATACCCCTTGCTATTTCTCAAGAGTGAGTGTAAAAATCTTTTTTGGGGTAACAATGACTTCTGCTTCCAGGGCT